CAATGGACAAGAAGAGTCGTAAATTCACACAGTCAAGAGCAGTTACAGATATAATAAACAGCTACAGCCCATGGCTTTGTTTTGTAAATGCAGTACATTTTCTGTCAAAAATACCTTGTTATTCTTGACTTAACCTGGACTTGCTCTTTACATTGCAACTACAGATAACTGAGACGTTGTTACAGGATGCAGGCTGTTCCACACACGGCTGCATACGGCCCGATACACTACAATCCAAACCAAGCATGGTCCCAAAACAGAGTACAATCAGTTGTGTTTATGGTGGGCAAAGAGATAAAAATCTGACCTAAATTACTTCCGAGTTTCTTAAAATACAGTCATCTTAATTGCTGAAGCATAGTATATTTGTATGTCAAATAATAATGTCTAGAGGCTGGAAGAGTGAAAGCCAAAGTGGCACAAGGTGACAGGGAGTAGTAACAGGTACTCTGAGGTTATAAATCATATTCCTATTGTTTAAAAAGGAAAATCAGACCACGTTCGGTCTATGGCAGATTGTAAAATCTGAAACACATGAGAAAGGACAACCTTCAGCAATTTGATTTTGCATGCCGGTAGAGCTAAACTTTCATGTTCCTGTGGAAAGCCATGGGTTGTCTTAAGCGTGAGCATTGCTTTGATGAGTCAGGTTATGTCTGCCCCCCACCTGTGGGCTGGTGGCCCATCCCCAGGGAGGTGCCTGGGACTGGGACTGGGACTGCTGTGGTGCCCCTCAACTCCTCCCAGTCCCCGGGGACCAGCCAGGCCTTCCTGACACCCTAGTGTGAGTTAGTCTTCCTATAATATGGGTTATATTTGCAGATTCTTAAGTCTCTTAAATGTAGTCTTACCTTTAAACAGTGTAAACTTACCTGGTAAGTGACGTACAGGTACCTAATACATGTGCATGTGCACACACACACACGTGTGCATGTACTTCATATGCAAACATGGCATTTTGGAATGTGTAAAAGGTGCTTAATTTTCCATACTCTTCTGTTATTTCTGGCTGATTTCATGAGTGTTACTCCCATCTTTTATTCTGTCAGTGCTGTCTACTTGCCAGCCTACTCAGATGCTTTATTTCATAGAGGGGTACATGAAATAATTTGTAAATGCTGTTAACCTCAAAAATGTTAACTTGAGGATAGTGAATTCTCCATTTTCAAGGGTAAATAGAGAAAAAAGTACCCATGAATAGTAGTAGTGCTTGCACAGATTTTTTCTAGTTCTTCTGCCCTGAGCTCTAAGGAATGCTTCTGAATATGAGAGTGAGCTTGAAAGAGGATGAGTCCACAGGCAATGAAATCCTAGATTCAGTGAATTTAACGGGAGTTTTCTGCCATGGTAAGAGTAGTGACAGAATTTCCATTGACCTTAGTTGTGCAGAGATTTTGTCTGCACTGTGGAGCCGCATGGCATGGGGGAGAAGGAATCTCCATGCCCTGAAGAAAGGCTTATGGGGAAAGATATTTTCTGTTTGACTCTAGGAAGCCAAATTAGAGGGAGTGTGGGGAGGTCATTAGCTGCTGTCCTGCAGTGAGCACCTTGTGGAGTAACTGTCCTACTGAAGCAAGTCTTTATTTTCTTGTAGGAGACAGACATGTACAATTAGTTTACTTAGTTCTAATTGTTCATAAGGAATAATCTTTTCCGATATAAAATCTGAAGAGATCTCTATGTTTGAGAAAGTTTCTGGGCTGCTTGGTGTCATCTTCTGTTCATAGCTGTTTTCTCCTGCCACAACTTCACAAATATTTTCTCTGCTCAGATCTTTGTATTACTAAAATACCTGTAGATGGCCATTTCCATGACTTGTCATTGCGTTATCATGGCTTAAGTAGTATCAACTATAGTAGCAGTGGTCCCTCTAGGCTTCAGTGGAGAAAATGGGGTCAGCAATAAGTTAGTATTTTATACCTGTTTTAGTTATTTGCTTGTAGTTGCATACTCTGCTTACAAGTTTCTGCCTCTATCACTGTTACATGGTATAAGGAAGGTATGGCTGTTTCCTGTCAAATTTGTATGTGTCATTTTCTAAATCACTGTTTTCCTTCAAACTCTAGTTAGAGGCAAAATTGGAAGATACTTCCTCTGAAGTGCTGATATTACTTACGTTTCCAAGGGAAAAAAGTCATCTGTTTGTTTAACATCTCAGGGATGTTTCACATATAGATTCACCACCTGCAGATTTTCTAAAGAAGGTTCTTATTTTGAAAATGTGATCCTAAACCTGAGGTAACACCATGGCACTTTGGAGAATGTTGTTTAGAGGGATTTTCTACTCCCTTGCTGTGAACTTTTCACATCTGTTAGACAGCATTCACACAGAGGAGATGGACTTTAAAAATCTAGTTCAAACCATAAACCACCAGTAGCTGCATGTTACGCTTTTCCTATGCCAGACCCACAAAGGTCATAAATCGTTACTGACTCTGGCTGTTCAGCTTAAGCTGCTGAGACTCATGTAGCTCTGGAGGTCCTCAGTCTAATCCTAAACGTTGATAGGTGTCAGAAGAGTTTTCTTGCGCATTCTAGAAAGGAAAGGAAGTATTAGAGCTAATGTGCATACATTATTTGTATGAATAAGCTGGAACTATACACCTCCCTGAACACTACAATTTTTTCATTGGCTCTGAATGTTCTCAATAAATATGTAATTTTCTCTTTCCTGTATGGATTTTTATTTTTTAATCTTTTTGTAGAATAGTTTACTTTGTACCTACTACTCTGAAATCTTTGGGTACTTTCTTTCCCTTTAGGAGTTTTCAGTTATTCCCGATGATATCATTATATTTTCCCCTGAAGTGGTGTGTTCATAACAGGATAATGGGGAGAGAAGCTGTTTTGTTTGTTATTGATTAGTGGATGCACAATCTCAATTCCCTTGGAAAGTGGGTGTGCGATTGTTTGAGTCTATGTTTCTTTGGAGAGAGACCATTTCAGGGAATTGTAGTTAGAGCTGCAAACAATCCATTAGTCACTTGTCCAAGCCCTGCCAGCATAATACCGTTCCCTGCAGTACATTATGGAGTGTTTTGTCCAATACCGGTTTGAGTGACTCAAGCCATGAGGCTTCCACCACTTCCTCTGAGAAACTATTTCATGGTCTGACAGAGCTTGCTCTTAGGAAATATTTCCTGGTACTCTGCCTAAACTTTTTAACACCCAGATTGATCTCATTACTGTTATGTATACTTTTTTTTCCAGTCCTGTCTTAAATCTTTTTTCTTTTTTGGCATTCACACCCTTGAGTGAATAGTAGATGGTATCATATCTTCTCTTAAGTCAAGCAAATGCATAATTAGTTCTTCCATTCCTTCTCTCCAAATAGGCCATCTGTTTGGTGGAAAACAGGGCTGAGTATGGGAAGATTTTTTTTCTACTAAGTGCTTGTTTCAAACAAATAATATGAAAAAGTGCATTAGGAGTTCATGTGATTGTGTAGCTCCAAGGACCCCCAACTTTTACATAAAATATTTTTCAGAAATTATGTAGAAGATGGTAACTTTTCCAGGTAGTCATCTGAAGCAGTAATACCTTTTTCTAGCACAATATACAGCTCTAGCACTAGTAGTCTGTCACATTTCATGGCTTCAGGGAATGTTTTGTAGCGTTGCTTCATCTATTTATCAAGCAAATTATATGTAGCTACAGCCTGGAGAGAGGAGAGCAATGGCAGCAGAATTGCAAGCAGATCCAGGAGCCATTTGAACGTCTGTCGTTCACAGCTTTACAGCCAGAATTTACAAGTATTTGGGTCATATAAGGATTGTTGAGGAAGGGACTGTATTTTAGTCATCCAACCATTACACATCTCTGGATTTCTTTCTAGTAGCCAACAACTGTTTGGTATTCCATTTCTTCTTTATTTCCTCTTCCTTCCTTCCTAGTCAGAGACTCCCAGTTAGAAGAACATTTAGATTTACAAATAAGACTTCTTAAACTAGTACTCCATGCTTGCTTTGAAAAACAAGTAGCATGTATTTTAAGCATACGTTTATGTTTTTTGATGAATCACTGTGCAATTTGGGAACCAAGCCCGTGTTTTGTTAATTTTTTACCTGAGATTACCTGATGCGTGTGGGTTTGTGACCTGGGTTTCCAGCTCGGGGAGTAAACAAGCTGCATGCACTTCCTCTGAACTGTACTAGAAAGGATGCACAGGTCCTCAGGCAAGAGCATTCCTGAGATAACTTATTAAATTTTACTGAGCTAATTAAGGAAGAAGAATTCAGTGATCAAGCTAAGATCAAGTCAAGTTTGAATGAAATCACTGGGTTCAGGTGATTAAACTAATAATCTAATATAACAGATAATCCTACAATATTGCACACAAATACACAAATGCAAAAAAGGAGAAAGCAGGTAAATGACAGCCCACCATCATGAATCGAATAACTCTTGCAGCTTGCTCATTCTATCGTTTGCTACCTGAGATGAAGTAGTGATAAATTTGCCAAAGCCCAGGCCATGTGCTGCATCTCTCAGGAAGTCTCAGACACTTTCTTCACCTCTGGGTGGCGTATCGGGGACAAGCAGGGTCTCCAAGGGAGGCCTGCTGGCACAAGGGAAAGAACCCCTCGTCATTTTCCTTTCTTTTTATGGGGAGTGTTCCTCACTTTTTCCGCCTCAGAGGCAAATGCTGTGGCTTTGGGGCTGAGTTGTATGGAGTGAATCAGGAAGGGGTGGCTTCCGTTCAGTCTCCGATGGGTGGCACATGTCAGAGGTGAGGGTGGGAAGTCCCACCTCTGGAACTGTCCTTCCAGTCGCATCGATTCCCACCATACATGAGGAGCAAGGTGCATGCAGAGCTTTCAGTCTAGAAGCACAAGTGACTTTTATGTGAACAAACTCTACCCATCTTTGAGGGACTGATGTTTTCCCTCTCCCCATGTCAATTGTGTGGCAATATTCCTCACATGCGTCTGTGTCCAACCTACTCTCTGCCAAAGGTCTGGTCTTCTCTGTGTTAACAAGTGTGTTCCCCTTCCATGCAGGTTATCCAGGCTGTCTTCTTTGGGATCTGTGTCTTGACTGACCTGTCTAGTCTTCTCACTAAAGGAAATGACAGTCAAGAGCAAGAGAGGCAGCTGAAAAAACTAATTTCCCTTCGTGACTGGATGATGGCTGTTCTAGCTTTCCCTGTTGGAGTGGTAAGTACGGTGTTAATCTGTGCATGTCTTTACAAACTGGGTGAGCAGTGTTATTTACTGGTTGCTTTCTGGTTGAAAGGCTTTCCCACCTCTAGGCAAAAGACTATGCAGAAAGTGAAAAATGGTGATTATTTTACTACTCTTGTTTTTCACAGGTGTAATGGAGCACTGGTGTTGCTGAAATTATTTTTGGCTCATTAAAAAAAAAGTGTACTTTATAATAGGAACTTGATTGTACAAGTAATTTCAAATGTGCATTGTACCGGCAGCATCTTGAGAGACAATTTGGATCTTTTCTTCACCATGTGTCATCATTATGAGTGCTGAAAGTGCTGACTGTAGAATGTTTCACACTGTATTGAGCTGACCAGAGTTTGAGCTGTAAGCCATTTTGTCACGGGCAGGAAGGTAGTTGAAAGTCTTTGTTGCTCCCTGTTAATCCCATGGGGGATTCGGAGCTGACAGAAGAAATAGGGTAGGAAAAAAAGATGGGGGTTGTCAGTAATGTGAAAAAGCACACAGAAGGTATGGAAAAACATAGGTTTTAAATGTCTTTTTCAAAAGAAAACTTTTCTTTGCATCAGGTTCTGCTTCACTGGGACATTGCACATAGCTTTCAATGGCAAAAGGTGCTGAATGTATGTGTCTCATACTACACAGTGAAAGCAGTGGAAAATTGAGGATTTAATGAGTTTTTACATGGAAGTGTGGTCTGTGTCAGTTTAGTTCTAAGTTTAGGTTACACTTAAAAATAATGTGTGAACCTTTTATTAAAGTATTGCTTTTATCGTAATTCTGGATCAACCTTTAATTCTAATGTTTAATTTCAGTGTGCAGTAGTTCAAAATAAATTCACTAGAAGCAAATTTTTTTTCATGGTAGGACTACTGGACAACTTTAGGAGGTCTCTAAAGTTGTACTGTTTCACAAAAGCTGATCACTTGCTGTCAGTTAACAGCAGTTAACACAACATATCTAGCATTTATAATTTGATATATTCAGAAATGCTTCTTTAAAATGTGTTTTCAGCATTTATGTAGGATTTCACAATACTTGTAGAAATACAGAATACTTTTACAAAGTTAGAAAGTACAAAGCAAATGTGAAACACTGTGCAGGTATTTATTTTATAAAAACCCAGCTGATAGTCCTCCCTTGTACTTCCTGGCCTGTCTCTTGGAAGCTGCCACAATTAATGTTGGAGTAACAGACTGCAGTTCTTCAGCCATGATAGAAGAAACTGGATCAATTAATAAATTTTTTTTAAAATCTGTGGATAGACAGTCTTGCAAATATGTATTTTTTGGCTGCAGAGATTTATATGTTACGTTTGAATTTTAAGGGAGTTTGGGAATTAGAAGTAGTTGTGATTGGCAACAGATGTTTTTCCTCCTGTGTTGATAGTAGAAGTGAAGAAGGAGAACAACATCACATTATTTGCATTTATTTAAAGATTTTAAGTGCCTTTTTCAATCAAGTGTAAGCCTTTACGTGCATCAGAGCACACCCTCCTTGGCTCTCTGCACACTGCTCAGGATTCAGGGGGTCTCTCCTGCCTCTGTTTTAGCTCCCTACTGTTGTCTGTGTGCTCCTCCACCCCTGCAGTGTTCCTGACCTTGAAACGTTTCAAGAATTTGGAGAATTTCAGCTTCACTTTGTCTTGGAAATTCTGCAGATTTCTTTAAGGCTTGTTTCACTTGCCACGGATAAGTGAGGAATCCTAGCTAGCCATTGCCTGCACTGGAAGTACTGTTGCAACATTTACAAAGTTAGCAGTTCCCTACAGGTATGTTGCATACCTAGAGCTAGCGACTTTCCCATGGTTTTGTACAGAAACAACTTATGTCTTAAACAACAAAAGAAAAATCCAGAAAATAGTAAGAAATGGCCATGCTCACTGGACAGATACTCACCATTTCCAAAGGTGACTTTTCTGTGGTGAGGGGGAGCAGTTGATTACCACATACTTCATACAAAGAAAGCCTAGAAAGGTTGTTTTCATTGTTATTTCTTCTCCTGGCTACTGGGCGGCAAACAGCAGCACTTTGTAATTTAACACTGGTCTCAGCTCCTTCCTGAAACCTGATCCTCTCCAGCAGTGCCCACCATACTGCAGCTACAACTTGGCAAAGCCTTGGCCCATGCCTGAGGGACTGCCAGCCACTGGGGACTCTTCTTCCTTCTTTGGTGGGATTACGGGTAGGAAAAGTTCAGGTCCCAAAAGTAGAAAACATGTAATGCTGGCTTTGTTCTCTAAAGAGCTATTTATGTGTAAGAAAATACCCAGTGAAATTTTGGTATGCTGGAGGTGCCTGTTAGAAGGAAGTTATTAAACACCAGAGTGTCTGCAGAAAAAAAGTTAAAAGTTCCCTCGTTTCCCATATTCTTTCAATGGCTTCTTCACTCCAACTAAAAAAAAAAAAAATAGAAAAAAGAACAAAAGAAGTGCAAATGCAGACTTTCTTTCTTTGCAACTCACCCGCCTAACTCTCCATGGAGCTTCTCAGTGGTTTCCAGTAGTGACACAAGGGAGCTTCCACACATAAAAATTGGGCAAATGTGAATAAAATCCTTGTTGGATTTGTAATGTAACAGCAGTGGTCATGCTTAAGTACTTGTCAGTTAACTTAACATCTAAATTATTTTTATTGGTCAGTGTTTTACACAGGGCATGTTTAGGGAATAATGCATATACTAGGGGAACATTTTAAAGCCTACTAACTGTAGTTTTTCAAGAGCAATTCAACACAATTTTGTCTGTATTTCCTGCTTACTGAAGCCCTTGAGATGACTTGTTCTGAAAAACAGATGAGAAAAGGGGTTTCCACTCCCAAGTCAAACAATGATGTGTGAAAAAAAAAAAAAAAAAAGTGTAACAAAGTATTTCATTTTTAGTACTTCCTAAAAAAGTATTACATATAAACCACCTGGGAAGTCTGACCACCAAACTCCTCCCACCTTCCGAAGGAGGGGAAAGAACCAGCCCAAGGGCAAACAATCTCCTTGGGTGGCTTTGCAACAACTCAAATCTTGCAAAATCTTTGCAGCAAATCACATCTCTCCAGTGTTGCATTATGCATTGTGTATCTTCAGGGGCTCAGATAAAATTGAATTGCCAACCTACCATTTTGTTTAGGAGCATCAAGAAATAAATATAAACCTCTTTGAAGGACATAATAACTACTGTTTACCTTTTGTCGCTCTTTTTAATATGATTCTTAAGAGAATGAAATCAGAAATCAACAGACCAATTTTCTATGCAGTAAAGCCTTATTCAATGAAAAGTCTGTTGGCCACACGTCCTAGCCCTTTTATAGTTTACTATAAATCTGGGATGCTGTTCAAATGCCTAAGAGATCAAGAAGCATTCACAGAAGAAAAATGCTTGCATAGACATTTTAGAAGTTCATTACTAATTCTCATCTATACTGTCTGCACTTACCCCCCTTTTATCAGTGTAAAGGACATTTAATAATGGAAATAATTTACACTGCTAGCTAAGTGTGAGACATGCTTAAAAGTTGGAGACTACACCAGTGGTTTAGACTATCCCTAATTTTTAATGTTTGTTTGACATAGATCATGAAGTTGCTGAGTTTCTGTGGTTAATTAGTGTTTTGTGTAAACTGTATATGGTTTTATCAATATGTTTCTTGTAATTTGTACCAAACAAGAAGAAGAAGGGATAAAATAAGCATTTCTAGTTGTTTAAGAATGTGCTTAATAAAAATAGGAAGAAGAAAGAAAATGTATATTGTTATATATTAGAAGAGTGATTGCTTCCTAGAAAATCATAGACACTACCACTGATATTTTATATCATGTAGCTTTAATATCTCCATTTGGGTCTGAGTCTAAACTGGCTAGAATGACCTCATATTCCTTATATGATACTTTTATGTTTTTAAAAACCTGTGATACTAAAGAGAGTAAGCCAGTCATGCTTTCTTACCTCTTGTTACTTGGTACTGGTACTGTCAAAAGGAAAGCTGATCACCCTTCTTCTGTAGATCACCAGTAATACTGATCTGGGATCTTATCCCAAGAAAAGATGTGTAGGCATTTGCTGCAGTCTCCTACTTACCTCGTTACTTGACCAAACTACAAAATACTTTTCTTTCCATAACTGACTTCACTATGCCAAAATCCCCCTGTTCTAGATTTTGCCTTCACCTGTGGTAATGTGATGGCTGGTGATGGGAACATGAGTGAGCAGTGGTGCAATTGCTTCCTGAACTTTGTTCTCTGAGGGGAGTCTTCCCTCATTTTCAGTTCCCACTCCCTATGATTTCCTTCACTGGCCCTTTTCAGATTAATTCAGTGTGATGCTGTGCTAGCACTAGATCCCACCTAAGGCCAGTACCATGCCAATTTGTACTTACTGTGATCTGCCTTTAATAACACTTTGTTTCTGTATGTGATGCCTTTAACCCCCAAAGAGGCTCACAAGCAGTGTATTTATACTCACAGTTAACTGTGAATGTCTTGGGAAATAGCCAGAATGCTTACCTTTAACTGTATTTAGAAGAAATTTTGTCAAGGTCAGAGGGTTGGGGTTTTCTTTCTTTGTCGTGAGGCCATCCAGGAAGTGAGTGAACTGCACAGCCCAGCCAAAAACAAAAATACATACTGCAGGAAAATAAAGTTCCACTGGGTTAATTCTTCGTTTGCATAACATTTCTTGGTTGGGCTCATGTAAAACAGCAAATTATACAGTTCTTTTCACTGACTTTCCTCTCTTAGATTCTATTTGCTTCCATTTGTGGTGTTTTGATAAAGCCACTTGTTTTCCCTTTTGAATCACTAACCATTTCCCAACTTGTCCTATAAAATTTTTCCCCTGGCAGTGCCACATGCTCTTCTCATGTATTCTGAAGCTTCAGAAGCAGAGGACAAAAACTCAAGGAATATCTCCTTAAGTGGGAAAACAGAGTTTAGTTTTCAGCCTCTTTTCCTGTTTCTGTGTATTTGTTTAACAACACTTTAGATGCCTGCAACAAATGAGCTATTCCATATTTTCAAACAGTTTCCAAGGTCTGCTTGCAAATTTGAGGTTCCCTTGGACTGTAATGACCCTAGATAGGCTAAGTAGCAAATGAGGGACTCTTCTGTTCTTTTATATGTTGCTTAACCTTATGTTTAACCAAGTAATCACAGTCTTTGGAAAGTTGGCAATCTTAGGAGGCTCCTGTGCAAAGAAGTGTAAAAGCAATTGCTGATGCCTCTTTTATTCTTTGAATTCCAGACCTCAAGTTTGTCTAAAGAGGAAGTGGAATGGTGACATTTGTGCCATTTTGCCTTGGGAACAAAAGAAAAAGAAAGTATTGGGCTCCCTGAAATAGGCCTACTGCATATGAGCAGCCTCTTCAGCCTGGCATGTGAGGGTAATGCCGTGACTGTCTCCATAATAGGGATGAATTGTACCACAATTCACAGACAGCGTGAGCATAAGAGCTGCAATTCTGACTGAGGCTTACATAGGCAGTGTAAAGAAGCAGCTCAATTGTATCATGGTCTGGCACTGCATGACCATGTATGATCTTGCAAAGCCCAGCCCAAATAAAAGTCTACGACTACCAAAGTGTAAGCATAGTAGATGTGATTTAAAAGTACCAGACCAACAGTTGCCCATTAATTAAACAAATTCAGAAGCAACCAAGGTAGCTAAGTAACAAGTCCTCTTATAGTTCTTTTTATCCAAATAGTTCATTTCTGTAGTTCTTTTTTATACTTGATTTTAGTTAATAGTACAATAGTTCATTTTTGTAGTTCATTTTATCCAAATGAGCTAATTGTAAGGAAAGGTTAGGTGGACAATTCAGACTGGAATGGATCTTCCCTAGCGCATTGTGTTAGTCTCATGTCAGGTCGTCCTGCAGGATAGGTTAGTTCTGTAACACCTTGGGTTTTGTGCACTTCCTTTACCTTATGTCTTCCCTGTGATAGTGCTTTGCTAAGCAGCATTTGCCGTCTGTAGCTCCAGATGGTTGCAACCAGCTAGGCTGATCCCATTCCATCCATTGGCTGACTTTGGTTAAGGGACAGATGGCATGTCCCTTCTCTTCTTATCTTTACCTCCTTGGCAAAGTCTATTGATTTATTCTTCTCCACACAAAAATCAGAGGTCAAAACATGCCAGCTTTGTTGTATTCAGTGTAAATAAGGTTCAGCCTAATTCTGGGTTATTTTCCTTGCTGTAAGGCTTCCGTGGAAAAGACCATTATCAGTCTTGGTCTTCATGTGCCTGAGAATATGTTTTTATATCCCAGTTGGTCTTAGCAGATTCTCAGAGACCCACTGTGATAATACATGACTTCTAGGAAGCCTATAGAGAAGAGGATACTTTGCTTCCATTTTCCCTGCTGTTCAGCTATTCATATCTTGGCACTTGCATGTCAGCAGGTGCATAAAGAGCTAGGCTGTGCCAGTGCCAAGACTGGCCCAGAAGAGAGACATCTTCTGTGATACTTTACACTCACAATATTTTTTGGGCTGTCCATCATAACGTATTTTTTTTAGTTTGGCCTCTGTGCACTAGTCAAGTAGTCCAAGCTTATTCTGAGCAGGCACCAATAGCTATCATAACAGATGGGTAAGTGTGTTGGAAACCAAGCAACTATGTACTGTATGCACACTGAGGGAACAGTGTACTGGTTCAGGTCATTCACATAACTGGCTGGCTGAAGTCTATGTGTCTGTGGTTAGAACAAGGTGCCATTGATAAACTGCAACCTCAATTTTAACTTTCCAAAGTCAGAAGCATATGAAACAACTTATGCCTCCACTGTCACACACACTAGTAATTTGCTGACCTTGCTGTGCTCACCCCACATTTCTTGAACTTTCTTTTTCTGACGCCCCAATTTAGCTGTAAGATCATGGGCCACATCAGTTTGCATGTAACTGAATACTTCCCTGCTGATCTCAGTGAAAGTCCTATCTGTTGCCTCTCAAACTTTAAACTTGAACGTTTTGCTTCCGTGTAGAGACCCCCTGTAAATGGTCACTAAAAAGCTCCTGGCCCAGGTATTGGGTTTTACTGCTGTAAACAATAAGCATTTTATTACTAGAAAACTATGACTCAAATTCAAGGTAAGAAAGCAATTGTGTTTTAATTAGAAAATTACTTACTTTTTTCTTTCCCCAGCTAAGGTAAGCTAAAACTATGATTTCTGTAAACTTTAGTGTTTTTCTATTGTCTTTGTTTTTCAGACATCAGGGTATCTTTAAAGAGTGTGCACAGTTTGACAAAAATTTAGCCAAGTGCAAACTTTATCTGAGCCATCTGTCCTGTCCTCAGTCTAGAAGAAATAATGGCCTTTCTCTGGGCTCCTGGTAAATAGTCTCTGACAAGAACCAAGCCAAATTACATACTAACAAATGAGCGGGATACTAGACTTCTTTTGTGTGGATCCCAGTCCATGAATTGTGTGCAGCACAGTTAAAGGGTTACATTTTTTTTTTTAAACAATGATATTTTGATGGCTGACATGAAAAAGTGCAAAGATGAGTTTATAGGCTTCTGTTCAGGGTTGAATGTTTCATATTTATACGTTCTATGAATTCCAAGAGATATTTTACCTGATTTTCCATTTGTTTTCTATCCTGTTAGTGGTGAAATATTATTTATGTGCCACATCTGCTACTAAAGTGTAGTACTCAGTTGTAATTTGGCCACAGGCATGTAAGTCAAAAAATGACGTTTCTTTCCAGGCTGAAAGTCAAAAACAAAAAAAGAAAAGATGAAAAGTTAAAACTCCTGTCAATGCAAAGAATATTCCAGATTCACATTGTTGATTAAAGCATGGTTTGGTCAAAGAACAATAATGTCTGTGTCTGTCCGTAGATCATTTGCTAAATGCTCCATCTTTCTATCCAAAATGTGTAGCTAATTGTTTAGAAGCATGTATTTTAAAATGTCTTTTCTTTTTTTTTCTCCTTAGTTTGTTGTGACAATGTTTTGGAGCATCTATATCTATGACAGGGAACTGGTTTACCCAAAGCTGCTTGATAATTTTATACCAGCGTGGCTAAATCATGGAATGGTGAGTAATGTAATACAAATACTTCCTTGCATAAACAAAAGTGTAAGACACTGATGTCCCTGTGCATGACTCTGCATACACTTAGACCCAATCCCCTCAGAAGTGATTAAAGAACATTGTTTGCAAGCAAGAATAACCACTTTCCTTCTTTGACTTCTTCAGACATGTTTGAATCTCTATTAGGATGAAACTGTGGAGATTTGAAACTGTGTGTCCTACATCCCAGGCTAGTTGTGGGGATCAGCTGTTTTCTGTGATAAGGTACCTTTCCCAGAGCAACGACACCCTGAACATGAGGAAGTTTAATCAAAAGAGATAGAAGTTCTGACTTTGACAAATCTTGCTCAAAAATGACAGAAACACTTAATTGAATGATTCTTTACCGTTCTGCCAATGTGCCCAGCAAGATCATGGAGTGAATCCTGGAAACTGTGGTAGGGCACATGGAAAATAAGGAGGTGATTGGTGACAGCCAATGTGGCTTCACTAAGGGTAAATTGTGCCTGAGAAATTTGGTGGCCTTCTGAGACGGTGTGAGAGCAATGATGGATAAGGGAAGAGCAGCTGACATCATCTGCCTGGAATTTTGCAAAGCATTTGACACTGCCTCACACAACATCCTTGTCTCTAAATTGGAGGGACATGGATTTAATGGATGGACCTCTTGGTGGATAAGGAATTGGCTGGATGGTCGCGCTCAAAAGAGTTGCGGTCAACAGCTCGATGTCCAAGTGAAGAGCAGTGAAAAGTGACGTTTCTCCAGGGTCAGTATTGGGACCAGTGCTGTTTAACATCTTTGTCAGAGTCATAGACAGTGGCATTGAGTGTACCCTCAGGAATTTCACTGACACCACCAAGCTGTGTGGTGCAGTCAACATGCTGAAGGGCAGGGATACCATCCAGAGCGACCTTGACAGGCTTGAGAGGTGGGCCTGTGCAAACCTCATGAGGTTCAGCAAGGCCAAGTGCAAGGTCCCACACATGGGTTGGGGCAATCCCAAGCACAAATACAGGCTGGGCGATGAGTAGATTGAGAGCAGCCCTGCAGAGAAGGAGTTGGGGGTGTTAGTGGGTGGAAAACTGATTGTGAGCCAGCAATGGGTGCTTGCAGCCCAGAAAACCAACCGTAGCCTTGGCTGCATCAAGAGAAGTGTGGCCAGCAGGTCAAGGGAGGGGATTCTCCCCCTCTTCTCTGCTCTCATGAGACCCCACCTGCAGTGCTGTGTGAGGCTCTGGGGCCCCCAACATGAGAAGGACATGGACCTGCTCGAGCAGGTCCAGAGGAGGCCACAAAGACAGTCGGGGCTGGAGCACCTCTCCTGTGAGAACAGGCTGAGAGAGTTGGGGGTGTTCAGCCTGGAGAAGAGAAGGCTCCTGGGGAGTTCTTATAGCCTTCCAGTACCTAAAGGGGCCTACAGGAAAGATGGGGAGGGACTCTTTATCAGGGGGTGTAGTGATAGGAGAAGGGATAATGTTTTTAAACTGCAAGAGGGTTGATTTAGATTAGATATGAGGAAGAAATTGTTTACTGTGATGGTGGTGAGACACTGGCACAGGGTGCCCAGAGAAGCTGTGGCCGCCCCCTCCCTGGAAGTGGAAGGTGTCCCTGCCCATGACAAGGAGGCTGGAACTAGATGATCTCCAACCTAAAGTATTCTGTGATACATTTCATCATCTTACTCTGTCGATTCATCCATAACCAATGGTATCACTATGACTTGAGAAATCACCAGGAGAGATCAATAGCAGGGTTTCTGTCAGTTTCAGCAGGACAAGGATTTCATCTCTGTTTATTATATGAAGGAGGGCATGTGCGTAGCTGAGGTTAAGCTTCTGTCAGTAGAAATAACCACCTGCCTAAAGAGAGCTGTTGGAGAATAGGGCTATGTCTCAGCCTCGGTCTGTTTCTGAAGTGTCAGGTTCACTTCCTGTATTTATTAGTTACGCAGATGAATTAATATTTGGTGGCTACAGTTTTAGTTATACTGAACTATTCCATCAGAGATGTTGTTTGTGTTCTTGAGATTGTCCTGTACTTTTGATCCATATCAACCCTTAATTCCACAGGCTATTTTCCGTGGGAAATATTCTTTCTTGTTTTCTGATGGCTATCTCTATCAGTATTAGGAATTTTTAATTAAAAACTAACCTTTAGTGTTTAAAACTGATGTGTCATAATAATAGGATTTTTAGCAGCTCATTTACTGCACATTTTAGTGTTGGAACCAGGCAGGATGATGCATGGATAACATTTGTCTCCAGAAGTTAAATTCTCTTCAGCATAAGCACAGACTATAAAACTAGAGGTTGTCCCTATTCTAAGTGATGCCCACATAAACAGATCTGTAGACTGAATTCATTTAATCTTGAGCATTGCTGATTTTGAGCCAGGTTACATGGCAGGACTGCTTGCAGTATCTGTCCAAGTTAGCATACCATTTCAGCGAGAGACCTTCTTTGTTTTTCACAGACACTGTCCCAAATTCTTTTTTCAAATGTGAATCATCTTTTGTTTGTGGCAAGGAAAGTAAAATACAGAGATAGAAATTACTTACTGAGGAGTTTAATGGCTTTGGAGATCAGAAACAAAGAATTTTCTTCATATGAAAACTCTAGAGGAGAGGTCAAGGAAGGGGGAAAGGACACATGCTCTGCCTCTGTGGAGTTGGAAAATTGATTATTTTATGGGTTCTGTGCCACTACAATCTATATGAGCTCTCCCAGTCTTGTACTCTTTTTTTTTTTTTGGCTGCTTTTGGGAAACAAAAACGTTCCTAGAAAGTCATACCCTCTGTTCTTCTATTCAAGAGAATGCACAAAAACTGGGACAAGTAGCAAACGAAGACGAGTTATGGAGAGGAAGGAGCCTGTCTAAGTGATACATCTCTACTTAGTTCACAAGTTGGCTCTCTTCTTATTGCTGGCTGCTCAGATGAAAAGCTGAGCCCGCTGGAGAGTGGTACAGAGTCCCCCTGGCCATCCTTCCAATTGTTCTTCCTGGCAGCCTTATCTTAGGTCCGGTGGCCTTGGCTTGTTTGTTCCTTCATGTTTCTGGTGGAAAGCATTTTTCCTTGATGATTCGGCAAGTAGAAAAATAGAAGAGGCATGCAAAGGTCAAAATTCATAGTAACCTGACATAGAAAGACTGCAAGGTCCAAAACTGGTGAGTTTTTTGACAAACCCATCTCTCCATCATTAATTGGGTCAGTTGCTGCACAGTACCTGTTCTAATGTACAAACAAGGAGATGTCCTTTCTTTCAGCAAAGTGTTTCCATCTAGTGTGTTACCCTAAAAATCCTTTTTGGAAATGACTCATCTGAAACAGTGCGTTATACTTCTTGAGGATGCTTTTCTAATACACCAACCTCTTGTGTATGGCCTATTTTTGTACAATGTACTGCACCTTGGTAATGCTTCATGCTTATATCTAGAAGATACTTACACTTTTCTGAGATTTGTTTCTAAATCCTATTTAAGACTTTCAAGGATTTTCCAACTCAAGTGGTCTTCTTAATTTATCGATAATATTTTCATATGTTAGGGGTGAACAAAATCTTCAGTGCTCCAGGAAGGAGTTCCCATTTGTTACATAACTTGCAAAGTTTTCTGATAAAAATCAAGGAAAATTTCTAACTCAGTTTCCAAACGAATACGCACTACTGGGTGGCTATTATTTAAACATCTATCTGATGGGAAGAATAGCAATTGAAGCTGACTGCCTGGAGACTCAGGATATTTGCAAAGCCCATTAAAATAATATTGTTGGGTTTGTATACTTCTTGCATGTTCATGCTGCAGTTATATGGCTCCGTCTGGTATCTCTTCTTATTATCTGCCAGTTCTACCACTGGAGTGTGAATATCCTCCACCCTCTGGGAAGAAAAACAGCAGCAGTTTAAAAGATTTTTTTTTTTTAATTTTCTGTTACTTATGTGAAGGGCTTAGAAATTGATAGTGTGTCAAAACCTGTGATAGCATAGCACCTGAAAATTGAGAGAGGCTGCTAGATAAAGAAGAAAAAATTATCTGAGTGGCATCCTCTGGGAGCATTAGGAAAACCCCTTTACCTAATACAGTAACAGCACAGCAGTTTCTGTGAAATAGGAAGCTGGCCTTAACCATGCTATGTATTTGCCGGAGGAGACTCATCAGGGCAAGGTGAAGACAGCTTTTTCTAACTGAACACAAGTGCCAAATGTTTCTGATTATCTGCCATGCCCAGTAATCTAGAGAAAACACACACACAGGCTCCTCTTGGTACAAGCAAGCCCAACACATAGTAACTAGAGACCTAAAATGTCTTTGAGTCCTTAATAACAGCTAAACATGCGAGCCCTGTTCTAGACGTGAGCATTGCAAATGAAAAGCCTGAGAGATGAAATCCCCAGATGATATCTTTTTCTGAAGTTTTGCCTTTTTCTGTTGACAAGGTCACGTAACTCAGTTTGTTAGCACAGAGGATGAGAGCATGTAGTATCAACACCAAGTCACAGGAGTGACTACCAGAGGAGGGGAGAAGAGGAGAGAGTCAGAGAGAGAGCACAAAACAGGAGGTTAGGGAAAAATAGTTGGATGAGAGGAAAAGACAGGCAGGAGGATAGAGACGAATAAAAAAGTCAGCTAATGTTGTTTCAACTCCTACCTACCTAAAAAAAGAAAACCAAAAAAAAAAAAAAACCCACCCAAAACAGCTGAGGCAATGAGGCAAGTGAATAAAAAAGGAGCCACAGAATAATGTAGACAGGCTGGAAGAGACTCAAAATGCTAAAGAGGACCTGGGGGAGGAGAAGGATGAAGAAAGGGGAAGCAAGGAAATAAAGAAAAGTAAGAAAGAGGAAATGAAGCATATGTTTTCTTACCATAACTTTCCATCGCTTCCCTGGGAAAACTTCCCTGAGATCTATTAATTAGAGGATTCGAGAGCAAGGAGATGGCTTACTGATGCTTCTGTGAGAGGAGGAGAATTCCTTCTGTTGATGTTGCATGTAGGTTTACAGGG